CCCCCCCCCCCCAGTGGCGATGGTGTAATGTGCTATCGATTGTGTTTTGATGAGGGTCAGATTACTAACAGGCTCCCCGAGGTGCTGATGATGATGCTGGCTGGATTTTCCACAGCGCATAATGTGTCCAGTGTAGGAAAACAACAGGACAATAGTGTACTTCATCAAGCAGTATTTCACCTAAATACTGTTCTGATGTTTTTAAGGTTAAATGTACTATTTATTACTGCAGATATTACACAAACTACTGTGTTTACATGGAGCCTTAATCAAGCTGTTGGGTTTAAAAGAACAGACTGTCATCGCTTTCAGTCTCTTCATAATCTCCCTCTTTCTCCTCCTCCTCCTCTCCTTCATCTCTCCTCTTACCTTGCTCTCCTCCCTCCCTTTAGAGGAAGCCTGCCTGCTCTTTTAGCCGGGCCTATTTCCACTGGCTTTTCTGCACATTCCAGTCGGTGCTTTTTCTGCCCTAGCGAGGCGGATGCCCTTAATAAAATGACAACAGTAATTTGCTTTTGTCATTCCGGTCCCAGCACAGACTACACCGTGGCTCAAAAATACAGTGCTAGAGGAGGCGGCCGAATGTGTGTGTCGGCTGGCTCTAATTCCCTTTTTTTTTCCTATTTTCCAGAGAGCTGCCTTTTCCATTAAGCCCGAGGTGGCAGGTCTATTTAAAAACCAGCCGCGACCCCACCCCTCATTCACACGGTGCTCCAAGTCTGGGAGAAATAAGAAATTAACATCAGGACTGGAAAAAAGGGAGGAGGAATGGACATTTTGTTATTAGACTGTCCTTCAGTTTTATTCAAATGATTCCAGCCTTCCTCCCTCCATCTTTTCCCCCTTCTCTTCGCCTCTAAACGGGCGACATCGCTCACTCCACGAGAGTGGAAGGCAGGAGCTGCTATTGCATATGGTGGCTGTTTTAAAAAGCTTCTTTATTAGAATGAGTAATTGATGTAAAATATGACAGAGTGCCGCTGGCTTCCTTCACTAAGCAAGGAGCAACACGGAGGGAAGCTCCTCCAGTAATGTTACTGATTAATGAAGGATCGCCCACTTAACGCACACGCAGCGGATTTTCATGAAAAATTAAACTTGTGTTGTCACTGCGACAGGCATGCGCAGCCGGAAAAAGACTATTAGTTGTGAATCATTATCAATGGCGATATTTTCAGACTCCATTATGCCAATCAGGGTCGGAATCTGTTTAATAGATTTAGTTCCATTTGGCCCGTAATTGATAAATAATCAGAATTCATCAATGTACTCGAGCCCATTTTCACTAACAATCAAGGAAAAGAGGCCCATTTACCACCTGACTTGGTCCAAATTAGGGACTAAATTGATGATCAATTAATGTGTGTGTGTGTGTGTGTGTGTGTGTGTGTGTGTGTGTGTGTGTGTGCGCGCGTGTGTGTGTAAAGGAGTCAGATAAGCACAGTGATAACGTCGTGTGAGCTGGAATGAATGATAGTTTGTGTAGCTGCTGTTTGTTTACTCAACACAGAAAATGTTGAGCACAAACTAACTTAAGTTGCATATCGACGTTACTCGACACTTAAAAAATAAAGAAATTCTGACATTTGTTTGAGTAATTCATTGGTAACAATTAATTAAATCAGAATTCAGTTTGCTGTACAGAAGGAATGATAAAGAAAAAAGTCTTTAAGTATTAAAAAAAGTATTAAAAGTCTCTAAAAGAAAGAAATAATGATTAAAGTTAATGTCTCTAATTGTCTTTAGAGAGATTTTAATTTACTCTGGAAATTCCTACAATAAATAAACTTGAAAGTGATTTTATATTTTGTCTGTTTTATTAAAATGTAAATTTAATACTTCTGAATATTACTGTTAAATACTCGAAACAATTTGACAAATATCGCGTTGAGTTAATTGCCATTTCTCACAGTTTTCCAACCATAGTTACTCAGTTAAATGTGCCAAAAACCAACACCAATGAATCACGTAATTAAATAAATAGTTTAAAGATAATCAGTGAGAATGATCGTGAGTTGCAGCCCTAGATTAGACTGAATTACTAGATTCAGACTTTTAAAATTGTCTAAAAGGTATCTTAATATTCTTATAAATGCAACGGTATCTATGTGTAGTGTATAATAATTAAAGCATGTTGTACAACTGTCAAATTACAAAAACTCTGAGAGGAAAATGTAAGAATATATATTACATTTTATCCCTAAAAGCTCAACTTTAGCACACTGTAAACCGTGTTTTTGCTGAACTCCTGTGGTTTAGCGGCTCAACTTTGCCTCAGTGATGTAGAAGTGTACTCGAGGGTGTGTCAGTACACTGTGACATCACTGCAGGGTGTGTGAGGGGGTGCAGGTACCACATACTTTAAACCAGGGAGGGAACAAAGTGCAGATACTTTTGATTGGGCAGGTCTTTACAAAGAGAGCTGCATTTTTAGATAATATTTTAGT